GCTTGGGAAACCGCACTGACCCCAGCCCTTGGGCCTGGCCATCATGGCCTCGTGTGGTAGCTTTGTGGAATCTCTGAACATGTATTCCATAAGGTGAAGCATCAATAAAGTATTTCCTAATATAGAATAAAACAGAAAATATGTATATGTGAAAGAGAATGAAAAAGTTAATACCAAGTCTTATTGTGTTTATGCTTAGTTTGAATGCTTCCACAAATAGAAGAAATAAAGTAAGCAAAAAAAATTGACAGTGTAGACTTTTCTTAAAACATTAATAACTTGAAACTATGAGAAAGGAATTTGATTTTCTGCCCCAAACTAGAATTTCTTACTGGAAATAGTTAGGCAAGACTGAACCTCACAAACACAGGACTCTTGTCCAACAGGAGAGGCTTTTTGGAAAGTAATAGAGAAACAAATGGAAAATGAAAATCATGATACTGTACGAATGCAGAGGGTTCCCCAGCCTGAACCCTTCTGCTCTCTCATCAGCTCAGCTCAGCTCAGCTCAGAGTTGAACTACATAGAAAACGAGTGTAAGAGGCACAGAGCTGCACCTGCACAAGCTGACTGTAAGCAGAGTAGGATTTTTCACCTGGAAAAAAGATAAATGAGGGAAATCCTGCATCCTGTACAGTTATGAACAGTGTGGGAAAGAGAAAATTTGTTTGCTGTGTTTTGTAACATATGTTGTAGAGAGGACAAGGGAGTTACCCTTGTAACAAGGGAGTTTCTTAAACTAGCAGGTTGGAGAAACCCTGCATATTCTGTACTCCTTAAGTGTCATTACTTGTGGCCGGATATGGTGTATGCAATGGTGTAGGACGTTCTGGAGACTGAATGTGGCGATGTGTCAGAAGTGGCTCAGGCAGGTGAGCTGGCAGTGCCTGGCAGGGGCTGATGGCCCTGGGCTGACCCTGCCCTGTGCTGCAGCCCTGCCGAGCCCTGAGCCTGCCCCAGCAGCCGGAACCCAGGGCCAGAGCTCTCCACACCACACCACACCATGGGTAGAACAGTTTCCACACCAGACACTCACCACGAAATCGGGGTCCGTGTCCCAGTCGTCTCCCTCAGCCTCCACCTTCACTGACACGTTGTGTCCCACAACTGCTTTCCACATCTACACAACAGGGACATGCTGTCACCCAGGGTGGCCACAGCTGGCTCACGCTCAGTCACAGCAGAACCTGGGCTGGAAGGGGCCCTTACAGGCCACCTGTCCCTCATATGGCACAGGGCACCCCAAGAGAGCTGCTCCTGAGCCCCAGCATGTCTTACAGCAAAGCACACAAGGAGTCTAGGTGCAAACCATGGCCTTCGTGCACCCTGACTGCAGCGGGAACACACACATTATAATGTAAATGAATGCTGGCATCCAGTTACCAGGTTCTGCTTTTCCAACACACATTAATTTTCTGTGCTGTGGGAGGCTGTTCCCTGAGTTACCCCTGCTATTAGTTCAGTTGCACACGCCATGGCATGCTCCAACACCATGACGCTGTGTTGCTGGAGCTGAGGTGGATTCCTCAAGCCTCCGTCTGCTTTTCAACCTTTTAATCCCTGCCCATAGCCTAGAGAGGGGTCAGAGCAAGGCTGGACAGTGGTGTGACAGCGCCGGTGTTGTGTGGGGTTCAGGTCATGTGGACAAAATGGGAAATGGGGCTAAAAGCACTGCAGATGTAGGGCTGAACTGGCTGAGGATGTGGTGGAACTGCTCCTGCAGGCCTGGAGGAAGCGATGGGCCCAGGAAGAGGAAGTTAAAAGTAATGTGAAATCTAAAACTGCTACATTTCATTTTCAAGGTGATGGTGAAAAAAACATGATGAAACACCCCCCCCCCCCGAAACAACTGAGTTTTTCCAAAATGAGAGACAGAGAGAAAAGATTAGTTTGCTGCCTGTACACCCCAGAGCAATCACTCTCATCAGAGCTCCATCCCTCCATATCCCACCCCTTTTTCTGCCTGCAGTATTGAGGAACTGTAAGTTCTCTGTGTTGCCCAAAGCAGCTTTTTTGTGGGGCAGAGAGAAAGATGGAAGAGAACGTGCAGGAAAGACTGAGCCGAGCCCTGCTCTCCATCACACCAAACTGTGACCAAATCAGCAGGAAGGAGGGGAGCTCCTGTGCGCTGGATCTTCAGTTAACAGCAGCTTTTACCATGTGCCTAGCTGTGCTAACCCCTCACTCCCACGGCTGTGTGGAAACCTCAGACAGCCCTGAGCTCTTGGGGCAGTTGTCCTCTGTGAAAGCAAATTGTTGATGCTGAATAATTAATAATTCTCTGTTTATGCTAAGTAATTAACAGTCCCACATCAAAATGGGACTGCTTAAGTGAGTAACCTTCTGGTTTAGTGAGTGCACTGCTCAGTTTCGAGCTGTCCTTTCCAGAGAACCAGCGCTGTAAGATCAGGGAGCGAAGAGAACAGAAACCAAATAAGCACAGCAGTGATGATTCTTTCTTTTCTCAAACAAAGGCCAGGTAGTCAGCTAAGAGAGAAGATGAAGGGCTAAGGCAGATACACAGTCTGTATTTAGGTTTTGGGCCTTCTCCAGGTGCCTCAGGATCACAGCCAGTCTGTGACATTGCCCACTGACAGCAACCCTCTGCCAAACTGGATGCAGTTAATTGCAATTAGAAGCGGGGCTGTGGAAATGCTCATGTGGACAACACAGCCCGTTCTAACACCTTTCTTCTCCTTTTCCCATCTCTCATTTGTTGGCATCTCTCAGCCAAAGATTTTTAAAGTTTGCTGCTCATTTTTGTAAAGCACAAACCAGCAATAATAACCAGCTAGCACAGGGCTGCTTATCATCAGGGCAGCTGATTTGAGCTCAAATAAGATGGTTCAAGGTTTTAAATACTGCTGTAAATGGCTCTTGACCCCCCATTCTCCAGAGTGGCTTGCCATGCATTGTGGGAACCATGACAAACCACAGGCTGTAATCACATCACAAGGCTCTGTCATATGAGAAATATCTGTCTATATGAGAAATATCAGCCAGGGTAGCATCTCAATCCTTTTTGTCCCATTTTCCCCTAGTAAAACATCCACTACAGCACAAATACAGGGCTACCACACAGCATGGTCGTGCTGGTAGATTTGGAAATGTGGATTTTTAGAGCCTCAAACACAAGAACCACAATGATGACAGGACAACAGCCTGAGAAGCAAATGTCAAGCACTGCCCACTTAAACATGCTCTTAGCCCACCAAAACCTACACTTTTTTGTAGTAATTTCTCATTTTCTACTCCCAAAACCCCCTCAAGTTTTCTTACCTTGAAAGGCTCACCAGCTCCTGCTGGCAAACTCGCTGCTTTTTGCTCAGGCACCTGCTGAGCACAGCTTTGGGCCTGTGTCTGCTCCGAGTTCCTGTTTTAACTTCAGCACTTTTCACTTCCTGCACCCCAGCCCCCAGCTTTGCTCTAGTCGTGAGTCCCAGAGCTGGCCCCAGTGCTGCAGCTCAGTTACCCTGCAGTGCTGCAGCTCAGTTCCCCTGCAGTGCTGCAGCTCCCCCACAGTGCTGCAGTTACCCTGCAGTGCCGCAGCTCCCCGGCAGTGCTGCAGTTCAGTTCCCCTGCAGTGCTGCAGTTCAGTTCCCCTGCAGTGCTGCAGCTCCCCTGCAGGCTGCCTCTGCCCTGAGACACTGATGCAGTGCAGATACAGAGCTCCTCCATCAGCACACTGGAGCCCAGCAGATCCTAGCACACTTGTGTTCTACAGAAGACTCTCATATGGGTATAAAAACCTGGTGGAGGCACAAATCCTGGAGCCATGTCTTGAGCATGCCTTTTACTTTCAGCATCTCTCCCCATTACTTGGAGGCTTGAGGAGAACACTTACTGTGCTCCTGCACCTTTTCCATTCTGCCTCAGGGCCTAAAAACTGCTTTGATCAAACTTGGGGTTCCTGTTGCACATCACCAGTACCCACATGAGAGAGCCAGAGTGGGCACAGTCCAAAGGCTGCACTGAACTGCAGTCAGCTCTCCAGTGACATCTGTGTCTTGGGCTGCTGGGGGGCAGCAAGCACTCCTGAAAAGAGTCCAGCACAGGGTGCTTTCATTGTGCTCAGGAGCAACTTACCTGTGACTGCACCCTCTGTTGTTTCTCCTCAGCAATGGCCTTGATGCAGCCCTCATTATCAGGGTGGGTTGCTCTGCCCTCGGTGAGGGCACCTGCATGGGCTCCTTGCACCTCATCATGAGCCTTGTCTGCCATTCCCACATCCTCACACGGGTCCTATAAAGGGAGCTGAGAGGATCAGGAGGGCACCCCTTAGAGCTCCATGCAGTGACTCGTACCCACCCCTGGTGCTGCCTTCCTCCTAGCACGTAACCACACTATTGGGATACATATTCCAATATATACAGAGCTGTCTGCACTGGGCCACTGCTGCTAACAGAATGCCGGCCGCATGGTCTCATTAACTTTATAAGCTCGGGGACCGGGGAAGGGGAGGGGACAGGTGAGTTACCAACCAGGTGAAGGGGGCAGGGTCTCAAGGGAGGATGACACTTAGACAGGCCAATGACCCCCAGGCCTGAGAAGCATCCTTTGAAATCGACGAATCACACGACGCCTTGCTGGTATGTTAGCCTGATTGACAGGGCACACTCAGCAAGGGGGCGAGGGGGCAGGGAGAGAGGCATAGGCACACCTGGGAAGGGACTCGGAAGTTTAAAACAGGACATTGCAACACACCACAACACCACACCTGTCCCAGCCTCAGGGTGCTGCTGAACTGGCCTGAGTGTCCCAGGATGACAGAGCACAGCTTCGTTGGCTGACCTTCCTTGTCAGCCTTTATTGAAGATAGATCAAAAATCAAGGCAGGACAGGTCTATTGGACAAGAAACAAAATGTTGAAATATTTGAGACAGGAATCATCAGCTAAAAGGCCCCATCTTTCATCAGGTCAAACCACAAAGCCGTTCAGTCAGACTATGCTTAGCAGACCAGGAGATCCTTTTGAGGTTTAGTCCCATATTTAATCTAAGCTATAACTGTTCTGTCTGTAGGTATAAAACATCTAAATGTATCTGAGGCCTCTGAATCATGCCTTTCTTCAGTTCAGGGGAAAATGCATGCGCTTTAAGGAAACATACTTCACTTATAATCCTTGCTCCTGTTAAACACAGTGCAAACATTATCTACAGCCTTACAACAGCCCCATGGAGGCTTCTGTTCCAGTGGTGGTCGGGGACTGTAGCAGTGACTATGAACAAGGGTGTCTGGTTTTGGCTACAGAAAGTTGGGACAGTTGAACTGTCCCATCTGAACGACCAGCATGTTCTAGCTCACTGATGCCAACTTCTCTATCTGTCCTGGGGTTACACAACTCTAACAAGGTGCAATGTTCAGGCTAATGTGGAAAACCAAATCCAAGCAGGTATTGTTCTACTGGAATCGCTTCACGATGCATGCAATGGTCTGGGTTGGAAGGGATCTTAAAATCATTAGTTCCACACATCCCTGCCATGAGACATTGCCCATTCAGGTGCTATTTCCTTATTCTGTCAGCTGAACAAGAAGTGAGATAGGGACAAAAGGCCATCACCTGGGCATTCACTTGTATAACGAAACAGCTTCTGCAGCAATCACACAAGGCAGTGCACACAGAGGGGACCTGCAGCCCCACCGTGCCCCACACAAGGTGTGCTGATACAGCAGCCCTACACCCTCCATTTGCAGTTAAATGGCAATGTTTCACAAACTCCATCTGAAAAATAAACTTTATTACACATACAGGAGTTCATACTCCAGGAAGATATAGACAAACTATTTGGTCATTGAATTTGACATAGTTAGAGGAAGGTCACACTGACAATCACAGACAGTCCACAAGAGGATATCTGGTGCCAGTGCTCTGGACCTGCCAGAGATCCAGCTGGTTTAGCTATCAGTGAAATCAGTCCACCCTCAAACAGGCTTTCTGCACTGGCTAGAGCAGCTTAGTTTACCACCAATATCAAAAGAACTACCTCTTTCCCATGGGAAAAATGTGACTGTTAATGCTCTACTGAGAGGCAGATGGGATTCTCCTGGCCAGTACTCTGAATGAAATGACCACTCAGGATCTGGCAGTGAACGCCACTGAACTTTCTTTGCATTCAACATTCTCCTTTTGGAAGAGGGCAGTCTCAAATTCAGGAGGTTCTTAGAAAACAAATGGAAACAGATCCATATCTCCATATATCATAAAAGATTCAGTCCATTTGTATAATTTGATTTGGGTCCAAACATGCCCAAACACCAGCACCAGATTTCTACACCAGAGGGTTCTAAAACCAGAAGGTTTTAGAACTCTGGCTCCTTCCTCAGCACAAGGGAGAAAGTTTATTTCTGGAGCTTCTGCATCTGCTTTGGGCTCACACAGCACATTATGGACCCCTTCAACACAGCCTGTGCAGGTTCAGTCTTGTGACGAGTATTTAGTGGATGAGAAGGCAGGAGCAGGGCTGCTCTACTAGAGGTAAGGCAGCACCTTCCATCATAAGAGGTGCACAAATACTATAAATAGGAGGATTTTTAACTTAAGAGCTAAAAGGTTTCATGTTTCCTATTCATTTTAAATAACTAAACTACTGGCATTATTTTACAGACTTGTCAAGGCAGATATATGACTGATTTTAAATGGAATGTTCACCACGGCCAGATATACTAATTTTGGCCCTTGTTCAACAGGAGATGCAACTGAGCAGGAAACATGATTTTAAAATTCACATTCCTTAAAGTGCCCATAACTTCCTTAGGATATGCATTTCAGACAGCTCTGAGCCATGGAGCAAATCTAAGGGGTGGAAGAAAGGGAAGACAATTCTCCTACATCCAGCTACAATGTTCCCCCAACCTCACTTATGGATTCAGCCTAAGAGGGGGAAGATTGTGCAGTTTTAGAAGTGCTGAAATAGTGCAGCAACTCAAGAGTATTTTTCTTATTCCTACTGCAGCACAATACTATCTAAAATGAGTGGTACTGCTTCCAGGCACAGGAACAGATGCTGTCCTTAAAGCTTGCAGCACAACCCTGGCTCAGCAAATGAAGCACTCCCATAGAAACACCAAGGGAAGGGCAGATCTCCTGGGAGCAGCTCCCCGGCACTGACAGCAGGGGCAGGGGAAGCTGCTGCTTCAGGGCTGGTTTGGAAAGGCTGGGACAAGTGCTGCCCTCCCGTGAGGGCGCGCAGGCCCTCAGCATGCACAGGGCTGAGGAAAAACTGCCACTCCCATTCACAGGCAGCCTGTGAAGCACAGGGCTGAGGCTGAGGAAAAGCTGTCACTCCCATTCACAGGTGGACTGTGAAGCACAGGGCTGAGGCTGAGGAAAAGCTGTCACTCCCATTCACAGGGGGACTGTGAAGCACAGGGCTGAGGCTGAGGAAAAGCTGTCACTCCCATTCACAGGTGGACTGTGAGGCACAGGGCTGAGGCTGAGGAAAAGCTGTCACTTCCATTCACAGGCGGCCTGTGAAGCACAGGAAGAGCAGGACATGGACAGCAAGCAGGTACGTGGCCACCAGCAGGGGCAGGTGGGCCCGGGAGCGGAGGAGAGAGCGCAACAGGCGCCGCAGTCCAGGAGTACTCCGGCTCTGCAAGAGTAAAGAGAGAGCAGTCACTACAAGGAGTGGCTGTGGCCCCAGGTGCCTTCATTCAGAACTCTCCAGACCATGGAGTTAAATTTGTTTAAGCTAATGAGCATAAACCTTCCCCAAATTGCTCCACAGTCAGATCCTAACACTAGGGCAATCCTCATGAAATGCTCCCCTTGCCCTGCTCTCTGCAGGCTGTCCATGAACCAGCCCCATCCAGTTTTGTTTCCAGCATGGTGAGAGCAGAAAAACTACACAGTCCCTGACTGATTTATGTGTGTCTACAGAAGAACTGAAGTGCTGTAGGTTCACAGTTTCTTGAAGCAGCCAGGGCTCACATAATTGACAGCTGTGAATGTTAAATTCTTACTCTGCTGGAATTATTGTCCGTGGAGTCGATCAGCAAGGACTGCTCGTGCCCTGGAGTCATATCAATGCTGGCACTTAAGGAAGATGACCACTCACTTGACTGCAACCTGCCACAACAAATATGAAATTAAATTCAGTTTTTTAGTATGATGTCCCAAATCAACACTGTAACCAAGCTTAGGAAAGAAGGTATTTCTCAAAAAAGGAAACAAACCCTGCAAGCAAACTGGTCTCACTTGCCAAGAGCTGGTTCCATTTGAACAGGTCTCATGTCTCCTGAGCTCACATTGAGCAAAAGAACAGGGTGGCCCAGCTACCAAGAGTCTTTCTTCCTTTCAAGTGAAATTTTATAGTGTGACTTGAAAGAAGTCAAGGCAGAGAATACACCTGTATGCTTTAAATTCTATGAAATTATTTTGGAAGCCAGCTCTGGCTGCAATAGTGCTGGTTCTTCCTATTTTTTAGTAACAGAGGCAGTAATCACATCCTGGGGCTATGGTTTATTAGTGAGATCAGCTGCAGGAGGCTTTTATAGACTAATGCCATAAGGAGCTATAGTTGTCCAAACCTTGTAGCAATTACTAGGGAACTTCATCCAGAATTCTCCCATACAGACCATTATTTTTTGACTAAATCAGCAAGTGTGTCAGAAGAAAGGCATTGTTTTCATGTAAAAGACTCCACTAGTCCATAACTCCAGTTATTTGAACTACCAGGAAATGCACAGCATGTGTGCCTACAATCAGGTCATGCACTAAAGCCCCCTCCATAGTCAATGAGGGAATCAAGCATTTTGAACCTGCTGCTCACTGCATCCTAATGCCAACATCTAGTCCAGATCAGCTGCCTTTGCTCTGCTGACTCTCAGGGCATCCATGCAGTGCCCTGTGATGGGCAGAGCCCCGTGCAGTGCCCACTGCAGTGCTGGAGAGGGGGCATGGGGCAGGACAGGGGGCTGGGCTGAAACTAAGCCTGGGAAAAGTGGACAAAAGTGTTTAATTGTTTAATTGTTTCCTTTTTCCTAAGTGTTTAATTGTTTCTCAATAACCAAATCAATGAAAAGTTGATGTTAATTGGCAATACATTAAAAATGAATGACATTCTTCAAGTCAAAACTGTTTCAGCCATGACAGACAGGTGCTTACTGGGCAGACAAATCTCCTGGAAGCATGAGAACTCCTCTTCAGCCTGCACCCAATTCTCAGTCTCCAAATCTATTTTCCAGTAGTTAATTTAACTAATCGAGCAAGTTGGCATCTAACTTCTAGACAGAACTTGTCTTAATGTTTAATCATTTGTCTCATCCTATCTGCCTACAATTGAAGGAACAGTAGCCCAGGGAGGGTGTGATGTCTTCCTC